AGCCGTACGGGGAAGATGGGGCTGTGGGGATGACGTGGGACGGAGGTGGTGGAACAGGTGGATAGATGGAGAGGAGAAAAGAGGAGGGACTGATGGGCGGAAGGAGAGGACAGGTCGTCCTCACCACATCCCCGTCCCCGTAGTGGGACCTCGTCTGCAGCTACCGGCAGCTCCGGCAGATGGCCCAGTCCATCTACATGGCTGGGGTCCTGGTGGGCGCCCTGGTCCTGGGGGGCCTCTCGGACAGGTAAGGGCAACAGAGGCCCCTCCCCGTGCCTCAGTTTCCCCACGGGGCATTTGGACAGACCATCACCCAGTGGCACCCAGTGGCACCCAGGGCCTCCCTGTTGCAGGTTTGGGCGCAAGGCCATGTTGATGTGGTCCTACCTGCAGCTGGGGGTGATGGGGACGTGCACGGCCTTCGCCCCCAACTACGCGTCCTACTGCGTCTTCCGCTTTGCCAGCGGCATGGCCCTCTCCGGCTTCGGCCTCAGCATCGCCTGCCTGGGTGAGGAGACAGGGATGAGGACGACCATGGGGAGCTGGGCGGGGACAATCGGCATGGCCATGGATGGGGACAACCCAGTGGCCGTGGATGGGGACGTCCCAATGGCCATGGGTGGGGACATCACCGTGGCCATGGATGGGGACGTCACCGTGGCCAAGGAGAGGGACATCGCCATGGATCCGCGTGTCCCCAGTGACCATGGTTGGGGACAGTGACGAGGATGGCCGCGTGGCTCCGGGTGGGGACAATCGGCACGGCTGTGGATGGGGATGACCCAACGGCCATGGGTGTCCTAATGGCCATGGATGTGGACATCACCACGGCCATGGAGGGGGACATTGCCATGGCCATGGACGCAGATGTCCCCAACGGCCATGGTTGGGGACATCCCCCTCTCTGCAGATGGAGACGTCCCTATGGCTGCTGATGGGGACATCCCAGTGGTCACTGATGGGGACATCACCGTGGCCATGGATGGGGCCCTGTGGTGCGGATGCATCTGGACATGATGGGGAGGCCACATTCACAAGGCGGGTCACAGAGGGGGGAATACCGAGTCAGACGTGTCCCCGTGGTCCCTTGCAGTGGTGGAGTGGATCCCCACGCCCTACCGCGCCATCACCGTGGCCATCACCGGCTTCGCCTACACCCTGGGCCAGATCCTGCTGGCTGGCGTGGCCTACGCTGTCCCCCACTGGCGCTGGCTCCAGCTCACCGTCTCCCTGCCCTTCTTCGTCTTCCTCCTCTACTCCTGGTAGGATGCTTGGGTCCCTCGGGGAAAGGCCAGGGGGACGTGTGGGGCTCTCTCTGTGCCTCAGTTTCCCCCTCGCTGACTGCAGGTGGTTGGCTGAGTCCGCCCGTTGGCTGGTGCTCTCGGGGAAGGCCGAGAGGGCCGTGAAGGTCCTGCAGCGAGTGGCCAGGATTAACAAGAGAAAGGAGGAAGGGGAGAAGATCACGGTGGAGGTATGGTGGCCTCGTGGTGGGGTGGGGTGGGTCTTGGTTTCCCACCCCTGTCCCCCGCTAACCTCTCCCGTTTCCCCCTCTCCCAGATCCTGAGGTCCAACATGAAGGAGGAGTTGGCTGGTCTGAAGTCCTCCTACACCATCTCCGACCTGGTCCGGACCCCAGTCATCCGCCACATCTTCTTCTGCCTCTCCATCGTCTGGTGGGGCTGGGCTGGGCTGGGGAAGTCTGGTGGGGAGGAGGAGGAGGGAGGAGGGATGGGCGAGGGGGTGGAGGGATGGAGAGGTGGGTGGAGAATTGGAGGGATGGATGGTTGGAGGGATGGGTGGAGGGAAGGAAGGAAGGATGGACGATGGATGGAAGGGTAGATGGATGGATGGTTGGTTGGATGGATGGATGGACGGTTGGAAGGATGGATGGAAGGGTAGATGGACAGATGGTTGGAGAGTCGGTCAGATGTACGGATGGATGAATGGAAAGATGGACAGCTGGACAGACACTCATCGAATCCAACTGTACCGCAGCCCTCTTCTCCTCCATCTGCGATCCCTGCCCTATCCCATGTGACGGTGACATCCCAGGGAGGTCACGCCACCACAAGGTCCGTGTCTCTCTCTGCCCCGCTCCAGGTTCTCCATCAGTTTCTCCTACTACGGGCTGGCCATGGATCTGCAAAACTTTGGTGTCAGCATTTACCTCATCCAGGTGATTTTCGGCGCCGTTGACTTCCCGGCCAAAGTGGTGGTGACCATCTCCCTGAGCTACATCGGCCGGCGGGTGTCACTCATGGTGGCCCTCTTCTTGGCGGGGCTAGTCATCATTGCCAACATCTTTGTCTCCACAGGTGGGTGCGATGGGGTGATGGGGGTCTTCTGCACTGCTCTGTCCAGCCAATCACGTTCCCACCAGTCCATCGCACAACTCTGCTTTGCTCTTCACCCATCCCTCCCTTCTCCAGCCATTGAATGACGCACCTACCGACCTCTCCAGCCATGCTCTCGTCTCTCCATCCATCCATCTCTCCATCCCTCTCGCCGCCCACCTACCCATGCCCCCACTTACCCGCAGCATGGTTCAGGTTGGAAGTGACCTCTGCAGGTCAGCTGGTCCAACCCTCCTGCTCAAGCAGGGCCACCTAGAGGTGGTCACCAAAGACTCCGTCCGGATGGCTTTTGAATATTGCCGAGGATGGCGACCCACCATCTCACCACCCACTTAGCCATCCGTCCGTCCGTCCGTCCATCCATCCATCCATGTATGTCTCCAACCATGTCTCCAACCATCCATCCACGTCTCCAACCATCCAGCCAATCACTTATCCATCCATCCATCCATCCATCCATCCATCCATCCATCCATCCATCCATCCATCCATCCATCCATCCATCCATCCATCCATCCATCCATCCATCCATCCATCCATCCATCCATCCATCCATCCATCCATCCATCCATCCATCCATCCATCCACATATCCATCCATCCATCCATCCATCCATCCATCCATCCATCCATCCATCCATGTCTCCAACCATCCACATCTC